CAGTTGTGAACCCCCCCCCCAGGCCACCACTGGGAAGATCTATGGCCCGTCTGCTCTGGACAGATTCTTCCGCCCAGACCCCTTTACTAGGGTACCTTGAATATCGTCCTCCTTGTAATGGGAGGAGGGAGATACACCATCTCACCACCCATCCAGGAATAGACTAAGAGTTCCACCCAAAGCCTTAACTGCCAAAGTTGTGACTATTGCTATGAGGAAGATAAAAACCTCCAGACAGGCCCGATTTTTCTGCAGGCGCAATTCCTTCACAGCCCCTAATATGGTGACCAATGATCTCCACAGCAAGGTCTTTAAGACAAGCAACCTACAGAGCCAGAAGGCACAGCCCGCGTACAAGGTGGGCGGGCGGGTTGACCTGCCGCTGACTGCACTGCGGGTGTCCAGCTTAAATACCCCATTAGTGGACCAGAGTGAAGACTTGCTCCCTCCGGTTGGCCTCTGAAGCCCTGCCTCTCATGTTGCCCCCTCACTGGACAGTTTAAATCTTATATTTTGGCAGCGTATCCTGTCGTCCTCAGCGGCAGGCTGGCGCTTCAAGAAACAGCCAGCCACGAATACGGACGGGTCACCTTCTGTGGGGTGTGAAACACAGAGCAGTCAAATACAACATTACTAGAGTGGACATGTTTAGACATGGGGAGGGATGTTTGTTCAGCCAGTAGATAGACTTACTGTTTCCTCCTGGGCTGGGACAAACTTCCTCTACATGTGGCCAGAGGTGGGCATGACTTCACCTGTGCAGGTAACAAAAGTACAGGACTGGAAAGTACATCTCCCTCTTTTCCATTTTGCTTTCATCAAAGAAGCATCAGCCTGAGATGCTGTCTTGGCTTCCAAAGGAACTATCCCCTTATGGGATAGATTCCAGGTGTATATATTTTGTAAGTTAAGTCTGCCTTCTGAGATCCTTCTGTGAACAGAATGTGAGTAAACTATTTTATATACTTTTATATTCCTTTTGAGGAGGGAATAAAGGGGAATTACAAGGAAACTTATTTTAGAAGCATATACAATCCTGGCAAATACATTATCCGCTGTGCATGTTTAAAAAGGGGGAATGTTACTCTGCTAACTTATAGAACTTGTTAATACAAGTTGGGAAGGATATAATTGATCAATATATCCTCTCCTGCTTCCTTGAACATTCCCACACCTTTCCACTCCCCAAACCCAAGAAGCCATGCCAGGTCACAACCATTAACCTCCCCAAGGAGGGTGTAAGTGATTTTTCTCCCCTATCCTGTCTCTCATGGTGCAGGCTATTGCCTGTGCTTTCATAGGTAACATGAAACTTCACATCCCTAGATGATGCTATAGGGCAAGGACCTCCAAGGCCACCTTCTGGAATCCATACACCACCACCCCCAACAAAAATGGAACAAAACACAGTGCTCCCAAAGATGATATTTAGCACCTATGTGGATGTTGCTGTCGCAGTCTTTTTAATGTGAGCTATATACAAGTATTTACAAAAGCAGTTCATACAGAGTACCTGCACCTTAAGGCAAACGAATATTCTCCACCACAGCACCACCACACTACAGCACAACCACACCACAACCACAATTACTGTTAAACAGGCTTTCCTTTTAAAACAGGTGATAGCCAATCACATTCCTGCTGAGTCACTCTGACCCAGCACTTCACAGAGTATTGCATCAGCCTGTTGAAGCCTGCAGACTTACTCATCATCCTGCGAATCCCAACAGTTGCAACTATAACATCGGAACACATGATATTGATTTAGTAAAAGAATCTTTCCAGGTGTTGTCTTGGTTGTCTTCAATCCTGCCCTGGTTATATTCTTAAGGGGTTGAGGTTGTGCTAGATGATCTCCTTTGATTTTTAAGAGTGGGATCTGCTAAACCAGTTGAAGCAGTCAGAATGCTGGATGTTACTTTCATAGAAGTACCCCTTTTGTATACAGTTTGCAGGTAGGTAGCAGAGAATGACTAAGGAATGTGTAAATCGGGTCCTCCTCCCAGAGGGCACATATTGTGGTGAGATCATCAGGACTGACCTCACCGTTGTGGTTGGGAATGATTGGGCAGCCACAATGATGCAATTGGAAGTCCCAGGTTGCTGTTGCTAAGCAGATCTGGCCAATGGGATTTCTCTGAATTAACTGGGGACCTTTTATATACCGCTGCACTTTGCATTGAGCTTCCTCTTTTCACTTTGTGCACCAGACCTGAGATGGAGCTCAGCGAGAGAGAAAGAGTTCTTAAAAACTGGTTGAATATTTTCCTTTTATTACCCCTGTTCTTAGCTTAGAGGCTTTCTTTACCCTTTCCCCTCTTTTCTGCCTCCCCTCTTTAATCCTCTTTCTCCCCCCTTCCCCTTCCCCTCTCCCCTCTCCCCTATTTCTTAATTCTCCCCCATTTTAGAGCCTCCCTGGGATCGCCTGTTGCCTTGCCCCTCCAGCGCAGATTGCTCCTGTTTTCTGTGGCTGGGAGCCCATTGTTTTAATTCCCCCTTTTAGGAGGGCTGCACCCAGCTCGTTTTCCTTGGCAACACGGGGGGTTTTTGGGGGGGGGGGGGGCTTTCCCTTCTCAGGAAGATTTGGCTGGCCTGATTGTTAATGGACGTTCTTCCTTAGCCCAGGAGCATTTTTCTGGGTGCATGCATTTATTTTACATGTCCTCTGAGGAGGTGGGGGGTGCCTGTTTAGTGCCTTAACTTTAATTGGAACGCCTATTTCTTGCACAAAGCGGCAGATACCATTTGTGGGAACCCCTGATTTTGGCGGGAGCACCATCTTGGATTGCTTGAGAGTGACAGATGCCATTTTGTGTGCTTCTAGTTTTGGCTCAAATGCCATTTTGAATCCCCTTTAGGCAGCAGTCGCCATCTTTGGGCCTTGGAATTTTAGCTTCATTGCCTTACTACCAGCCCCTCCTCAATTTCTTAAGCTTAATGCCTCCTAAGAGGATTTCAGTGTCCGCTGATGTTGCCTTGCCTCCTAAAAGAGCCATTAGAGGGCCTTTGAAATCCTTGAGATCGGATTGGTCATCCTTACCACCTGGCCAGGTGTCTAGCTGACTAGAGTCCATTATGTCGTGCTTGGCTGGGGACCCTCGGGCCTTGTCATGTTTTTATGCAGAATTTAATGACCTACTGCAGCGTTTTAGTTCTGCTGGTGATTCTTACCCAGGGCCTTCCTCATGTATGGTCCTTGAGGCCCATGGTCCTTCTGATTCCAGTGAGGAAGGGGAGGGATTTCCACCATCCAGTGCTCTATTTAATGTCTCAATTTTCACGTATTTTTGTGCCTCCGCTTTATGCGGGCGCCTTAGGAGCCTGGATGTCCCCAGACAGCAGTGGGATGAGGGGTCTGAGTTGCCCTCCTGTATCTGTCCCCCAATCCAGGTCTTTGGAGGCTGGGAATTCTGCTGGGCCAGAGCCAGTCAGTCACTCATACTCTTATAGTTCTTTGCAAACGATGGCTGGATCTTCCATCCAGACACCCCCTCTGGCTTCCTCTGAGGAAGACAGTTTGCTGATTTCTAAGCAGCCTTCCACTGTGGGGAAGCATCACCGGAGGAAGCATTAAAAAAGCGTGCCAGGAGGTATCGAGATGGAGACCCCTCTTCTTCCACAGGTTCGTCTTCCTTGAGCACTGAGGAGGAGGAGGAAGCCTCCATGAATTTCTAATGGGGCTTTGGAAAGGCCATTCCTGGCCTCCCGAAATGGGCCTGGGACCGCAGGGCCAGTTCACATAGGGGCCTGGTTCAGGGCAACTCAGGCGTGCAAAGATGGTGCTCTGGTTGAGGAAGTTGAAATCTTCACCAACTCTGCCAGCCTAGTCGAACAAATGCCTAAACAAACCACTCACTTTCTGTAATCAATAAAGTTGTGGCAATAAACTTTAAAATTATGCCAATAACCTAAAACTAAATTCCATGTCATGTGTGAATTTATTTATTGAGGTGGCTCCTGGGGGTCTTCACATGCAAATACTGTTCTGAAAAGAGGGCGCTGCAGGCAAGGGGTTTGTATATAGAACAATAGACTGACAGTTCCGAATCTGGCTGCCCATACGTTAGCATTCGCTCTGGTTAATGTGGTTTGAATCCCACGACCAAAAGTAGAGGCTGAGTCATCTCCCCCAGCCGTTGGGTGCCCAAGGATGGTGGCCAGGCTGTGCCACACTGCAACAGACGCATCACAATTCAGGTCAGGGAACAGGTGCATGGAATGGAAGGGGAAAGTCATTTTGGACAACAATTGTTGTTCCCTGTTTAGGGAAGCTTTTAATATCTGAAGGACTATCGTATTTTAATATTTTGTTGGAAGCTGCCCAGAGTGGCGGGGGGAACCCAGCCAGATGGGGAGGGTATAAATATATTATAACAACAACAACAACAACAACAACAACAACAACAACAACAACAATTTTTATATGCCTCCCATCTGACTGGGTTGCAAGATTTCTCTATAAAAGCAGAAAACCTGGATAAAGTATTTTAATTTCATTAACCATATATTATGTTGAATGTACACATTCAGTTTCGGGGTTTTTAATTCTTCTAGCTTCTGCCTTTTTATGGAATACCACTCTATTGGTCTACATAATGTAACATCCCACTTTAATTATCCAGCTAATTAGAACAAATACCCATTTGATAAAGACATATGTTTTCAAATTGATTAATAATAATAATGGTAATACTGGTGGACAAAGATTAATCAAAATCAGCAAAGTGTGTGTGTGTGTGTGTGTGTGTGTGTGTGTGTGTGTGTGTGTGAAGCCAGATTCAAATATGATAATCAGCATGTCTATGGAATTTGCACACATGACATCAGAAGAGGCAATATCGATTTAGTAATAGAATCCTTCCAGGGTTGATTTGCATCTGAACAGAATCAACAAATGAAAATAACTCCTCAGCTCTCTAAAACCTTTTCTGTCCTAGATAGAAGGCAGAGGTATTGTCCTCCACACAACACATATACATAAAGTGCGGTGGCGGCAGCAGATGGTGCAAATATTACACATTACAACAGAGTTGACATCCTCCTTCACGCTCAGAAAGATGCCTACTTTATTTGAATTGTTCAACTTCATTCTTCTGGTGGTTGTGACCCTCACAGGATTGGCAGGAAATGGATTTATTGCCATCGTTAACTGCATTGACTGGTTTCGAAGCAGAAAACTATCCCCAGCTGACATGATCCTGAGTTGTCTTAGCTTGTTCAGATTTGCATTTCTTGCCATTGTGATACAGACTGCAATTTTTATCCTCTTTTTTGAGGACACTTTTCAGAAGAGGGACCTAAGCATTGCATATGATACCTCATGGCTATTTGTTAATACTGCTGAACTTTGTTTTGCCGCTTTGCTCAGTATTTTGTACTGTGTAAAAATTGCCAACTTCTCCCACTCTCTCTTCCTGCAAATGAAGTGGAGATTCCCTGGGCTGGTGCCTTGGCTGCTTCTGGGGACAGTGGTCTATTCGGCACTCGCCACCATTGTAGGAACAATGGACATTACACTCATATCTGAATGTAGTTCATATGAATCACTTCTTGGCAATAACACTGACTCAGGAATTAAGACATCTGACTTTTGCAAGTATTCCATCTTTCTATATGTTGTTCCAGAATTATTTCCCTTCATGATATTTTTGTTCTCATCCATCTTACTACTAACTTCTCTGTGGAGGCACAAAAATCTTCTACGAAACACTGCAAAGGATGTCAGCACAGAAGCTCACCTGAATGCCATCAAAGCTCTGGCTTCTTTCTGCATCCTCTACATATCTAGCTTTTTTGTGGAAATTTTGGATGATGTCCTGTCCTGGATGGACACTGGGGACCTTTGGGTAACAATATTTTTTTTTAATGTGATTGCTGCATATTCCTCTGGCCATGCCATTATCCTGATCTTCATTAATCCCAGACTAAAACAGGAATCGGTAAGGATTCTACATCCGCTAAAAAGCTGCATGAAGACACCATCTTAAAGGCCATCAAGACATCATGGAAGTGTCGTCCACTTTTGCAGGTACAAAATCTTCTGTCTGAGAACCGCCTAGAAGAAGTTCTCCTGGAAAAGTTCTCCTGCACAAGACTGCCCAACCACTGCAGAGTGGTTTGCATAGGAGAATATTGTACAATATTGTCTGTCCCTGGGTTTGCAGGTTCCCACATGCTCTGAGGACACAACCTAGGAGAGGTTCTCCTGCACAAAAATGCCCAGCTATCGCAAGGAGGGTTGCACAGAAGAGCTTTCTGCTGGGTATGCCCTTGAATTCTGTAGTAGTGTTTTATACAAACCTCCATAGACTCATGCATGGCTATGAAGAGGGCATTTGTCTTCCCGCCAACAGATTCTCCTTTTGACTGCACTTGACATGTTAAATATTGTTCTCCTCCCTAACCAATTGATCATTTTTGCTGTTGTAAATGATGCTTTTGATCTCATTTCTATCTGATGTTGATTTGCAGTTGTAATTGCAATATAAATACATCAGCCTAGGGAAAGAGTTAACTGGCACCCCAACAAAGTCCTGGCAGGTATCCAATTTCTCTTCCTTTGTCCGTCCAGCCTTGCCAAAGCCTTACCATGTCTCCAAACTCCCATCTTGTCCTGCCGTCCAAGCTAACAACCCCTTTTTCTTCTCCCAAGTAATAATTGACTCAGACCAGCTTATTAATTCCACATCCATTTAAAATTATTCTCTTTGTTTTATATTCCATACACACAGTTCATTTTTTTATTATTTGTAAACCATATCTATAATCTAATTCCCTCCCACTCTGCTTGTTGCTTTAAAATGTTAATTTGGCTTCTAGGGAGTTTGCTGAGTCAGTTATGTAAATAGAAAAAAAATAAAGAATCCATTTTTAGGCTCCCCCGCCCCATACCATCTTTTGCACCAAATGAAGTCTTCTTTCTCATTCAAATCTTAACAACCTTGCAGCTGTTTCAATTCAGCAGTTTCAGTTGCAGCTGTTTCAATTTCAGCATGCATCTATACATTTATCCTAATTAAACTTTTAATGAGCAGAAGAACCTCTGCTTCTTAATGGTGGCGGAGGAGGGTTACCAACAGGCAAAGTGCTTTTGCACTCAGTGCCTCCCTGCCTCCCGCATTCCATATCGGAGCGAAAATCAGGTATCGAGACAATCTGCAAGTGAAGGATAATTACCCTCAATCATCCTTGGTTTTTTCCTTCGCCAACAATCTCCTGTTGTCATGGGAGCTGTCTCCATTAAGGCAGCCGGAACTGGAAGCCGTGTCTGCAGTGAGGCAGGAACGCGGGTGGCACTGTGGTCTAAACCACTGAGCCCCTTGGGCTTGCTGATCAGAAGGTGGCGGTTCGAATCGCTGCAACGGGGTGAGCTCCCATTGCTCTGTCCCAGCTCCTGCCAACCTAACAGTTCAAAAGAACAGCAGTGCAAGTACATAAATAGGTACCTTCAATATGGGGTTCCGCAGGGCTCAGTTCTATCCTCCATGTTGTTTAGCATCTATATGAAAGTGCTGGATGGGATTATGCGGAGGTTAGGAGTATGTCATCAGCAGTATGCTGATGACACTCAGCTCTATTTCTCCTTCACATCTGCAGGTGAGGCGGTGAAAGTGCAGGACCAATGTCTTGCCTCAGTAATGGACTGGATGAGAGCCAACAAACTAAAGTTCAATCCAGATAAGACTGAGGCACTGTTCATGGGTGCTTCCTCAGACAGGATGGTTGGGAGGTCGCCTGCTCTTGATGGGGTTACGCTGCCCCTATAGGAGCAGGTTTGTAGCTTGGGTGTACTCCTGGATCCTTTGCTGTCGCTTGAGGCCCAGGTAGCCTCAGTGGCCCAGAGTGCCTTCCATCAGCTTCGGCTGGTGGCCCAGCTACACCCCTATCTGGACAGGGATCATCTAATTATTGTTGTCTATGCTCTGTTAACCTCAAGGTTAGATTACTGCAATACATTATACGTAGGGCGGCCTCTGAAGACGGTTCGGAAACTTCAGCTGGTGCAGAACTCAGCGGCCAGATTGCTCACCGGAACTAGACGATTTGAGCATATTACACCGATCCTGGTCCAACTGCACTGGCTACCAATTAGTTTCCAGGCCCAATTCAAAGTGCTGGTTTTGACCTATAATGCCTTAGGCTCAGGACCGCAATACTTTAAGGACCGCCTCTTCCCATATGAAGCTACCTGGACCCTGAGGTCATCTTCTGAGGCCCTTCTCCTTGTGCCTCCTCCTCGAGAGGTCAGGATGGTGGCAGCATGAGAACAGGCCTTCTCTTCAGTGGCTCCCCATCTGTGGAATGCCCTCCCCAGAGAAGTTCGCCTGGTGCCTTCACTATACATCTTTAGGCGCCAGGCAAAAACATTCCTCTTCAACCCGGCCTTTGCCTGACCTGACATCCTATGCCCTTTTTTAAATGCTGGCTCTTTCCTGGGGGGAGATAGTAATCTGGTTTTGGTTTTGATTTTATGTAAGCGATTTTTAAGGAGAACCGCCCTGAGACCTTCAGCGATGGATATAGAAACAAAATAAATAATAATAATACCGCTGTGGCGAGAAGGTAAATGGCATTTCCATGTTTTCTGGTTTCCATCACTCTGTTCCATTGCGCCAGAAGTGGTTTAGTCCTGCTGGCCACATGACCCAGAAAGCTGTCTGTGGACAAACGCTGGCTCCTTCTGCTTGAAAGTGAGATGAGTGCTGCAACCCCATAGTGGCCTTTGACTGAAATTAACTGTCCATTGGTCCTTTACCTTTTACCTGCAGTGAGGTTTATACCTAACTACTTAAATCCTCCATGCGCTATGGGAAATGGAGAGTTAACTAGTAACCAGCCTCTTGTAGTGTTTCTAAATTGATAGGCAGGAGCTCAGATTTAGAGTAGCTGATTTGCAATCCTGCTACCCTGTGATACATTTCTAATTGCCGCTTAGGTGGCTAAAGGCTGTTATTGGATTTTGCAAAGATAAAGGGGTGTCATCTGCAAACATACTCATTTTGTGTATCTCATTCTGCACAATGACACCCTCTGTAGAAGGCGTCTTTGTATAGTTCGATGCCTAGTACCTCCATGAACAATGCAAACAGCAATGGCAACAGAGGGCAGCTCTGCTGGGTGTCCCTTAAGACGTCAAAACCTGAGCGTCAAATCCATTGATTGCTTAAAGAGGGGCAAGAACATAGAAAACAATGAATAAATTCTTTTTAAAAAATCTTCTATTGGCATGCACAAGTAAACACCTTGCTTTATTTCTATGACCGATTAGAACAACATCCCTCACAAACACAATAAATTTATGAAATCATTTGATAGAAATCTCTGTTTACATATGGATTAAAAATAATCATACTGGTGAACAAACATTAATCAAGATAAACAAATCCTAAAAGAATCATGTATCACTGTTTGTTAAGGCAGATGCAAAAATGATGTTTAGCACCACTGTCGAATTTGCAAATATGACAGCAGAATATATGATATAGATTTAGTAATGGAATCTTTCCAGATGTGATTTGCATTTGTACAGAATCAACAAATGAAAATAGCTCACATCCCTCCCTGCAAGTTTCTCTATTCTGGAAAGTAGGCAGAAGTATCTGCTCCCCACTGGTAATATAAAGAGCAGCATCAGCATCAGCCTCTGCTAATATTATACATTACACTGGAAGAAACGCTTCTATTTCATGCTCAGAAAGATGCCTACCTTATTTGAATTGTTTTGCTTCATTCTTCTGGTGATTGAAACCCTCACAGGAATGGTGGGAAATGGATTCATTGCTATCGTGAACTGCATTGACTGGCATAGAAGCCAAAAACTATCCCCGGTTGACATGATCCTGAGTTTGCTTGGCTTGTTCAGATTTGCATTTCATGCCATTTTGATACAGATTGCAATAATAAACGTCTTTTTCGTGGACACCTTTCAGAAAATGAACGTATATATTGCATACAATTCCTTGTGGCTATTTCTTAATACGCCTGGCCTTTGGTTTGCCGCTTGGCTCAGTGATTTGTACTGTGTAAAAATTGCTAACTTCTCCCACCCTCTCTTCCTGCAAATGAAGCGGAGATTCCCTGGACTGGTGCCTTGGCTGCTTCTGGGGTCTGTGGTCTTCTCTGCAATCACCACCACTGTAGCAATAACAGGCAGTATCATTTTGTCTAAATGTAATCCATTTGAATCACATCTAAACAATAACAATGACTCAGCAGTTAACACGACCAGTTCCTGTAAGTTTCTTAGCCTACTATATTTTTTCCCGAATTTCCTTCCTTTCATTATATTTTTGATCTCATCCATTTTATTACTAACTTCTCTGTGGAGGCACAAAAATCTGTTACAAAACAGCGCAAGGGATGTCAGCACAGAAGTTCATCTGAATGCCATCAAAGCCCTGGCTTCTTTCTCCGTTCTCTATGTAACTAACATTTTTGTGGAAATCTTGTCAATAGTTTTGTTTTGGAAGGGCATTAACCACAATGGGGTGCATTTAATTCTTTTTAATGTGATTGCCGCATATTCCTCTGGTCATGCCATTATCCTGATCTTCATGAATCCCAAACTGAAACAGGAATCAATCAAGATGCTACATCAGCTAAAATACTGAATGAAATATTGAATAAATGAATGCACTATCATGTCAAAACTGAAAAGCAAGAGTTCTACCAATGTAGGTTCCTTCTTAGTTCTGTGTTTCCTTTCAGATATCCATATTAACTTCCTCCTCATTATTTACACAACATTGTGAGGTGGCTGGTATATGGTTAGTCAGAGCTCTGAAGATGTTTTTTCCCTTAATGGCTGAAAACCAGAGATGGGGGAACGGGCTAGTCGCGGTACTTGGCTTGTCTTGCTACCTGGCTCTCGCTCCAGCATGGATTGTGGGAGACACAGAGGCACTGAGTGCAAAAGCACTTTGCCTGCCGTTAACCCTCCTACGCCACCATTAAGAAACAGAGGTTCTCCTGTTAATTAGAGCTTAATTTGGACTAATGTACATGCACATGCGAGAAGAGATGAGCTCATAAACTGCGGAACTGAACCAGCTGCAAGTTCTTATATCTGAACTTGAGAGAATACGTCATTCAGTACAAAAGGCGATGGGGAGAAGCGAGCCTATGGCTTCTTTATATGAAGTTTTCTTCTCTATGTTTATGATTTGGCAACCCTCCCTTGAATGCTAGTTCAGATTGTATATGTGCAAGTGAGGAGGGATGAAACTGGATTGTAGATATGGAATATAACATTAAATGGAACTGTGTGTGTAAAAAAAAAACAAGGAAAAAGGGAGGGAAGCTCTATGTTGCAAGAAGTTTACGATGGAAGCTTACAGCTGACTCTTCCTGTAATGAGTATGAGTTACTCGTGCGTAAACTGGTGCCTCTCTAGGCTGATTTGCCTTGTTAAACCTTTCTGACTGCACAGCCCCTTCTGATCATGACTGTCTCAGTCACTAGCAGAATCCGTCAGTGGGCGTTTCTTGAATCTCTTCCAACATAAGAGTTGTTTGACACCCAATCTCCTCCGCCTCTCACTGCGCGGGAGCCTTCTGCGCAGGGTGGGCGTGGGTAGTGGGGGACCTGTCCCCTCCTCACTGAGTTCCAGTGAAGAGTCCGTGAGCCCTCTCTCCGATTTTCCCATCTGCTCACTTTTGTTCCTGGTGTTGCGCTTAAATGCTTCCCCCTCCACTGAGTCGCCTCTCCCCCTGCTGCTGGGTCCTTCTCCAGCATCATCCAGGAGCCTCCCCTTCGCCTCCCGCTCTGATGTCAGTTCCCTGACATCCACCTCCCCCCCAGAATCCCCTCCACCCCTGGGCCGACCTCGTCCCCTTCGTCAGCCGAGGAGGCGGGAAACCCCGGAAGGAACTGTCACCATCTTCTGTGGGTTCGAAACCCGCTTCCCAATCGCTCTTCCACCTACCAACGGGGTGGTCTTCCCCGTCTGATGCTTCTTCCTCCGAAACCTCTCCTCCCTCCTCGGAGTCAGAAAATCCCTCAAAACCCTCTTCCTCATCTGTGGTTCCAAATTGCTCCTCCCAGAATCTCTCCAGGGGTTTGGGTTTGTCCGGGAACCGGTGGTGGAATACCTCCACCAGATACCTGTCCTCGACGGCTTCCGTGGGGACCCACGTGTTTTCGGACCTGGGTTCCCCTTCCCACGCTACCAAATACTCCACCCGGCGCCCTTGCCACCTTGAGTCCAGTATTTCCGTGGCCCTGTGGTGGTGTTCCCTTTCTTCTACCTGCGGGTGTGTGGTGACTTCTCCCTCTTGCCCCTGGAATTCCCGCCCTTCCCTATGCGGTGAAAGCAGGGACCTATGGAAAACCGGGTGTATTTTCATGCTATCAGGCAACCTGAGCTTAAATGCCACGGGATTAACTTGCTGTGTTACCTCAAAGGTCCCAGCCGTCTGGGCTGCAACTTCTTGCACCCCCCTTTGAAAGGTAGCCCTTGGGTGGACAACCACACCCGGTCCCCCACCCGTATGGTCTCCCCTTCCCTGCGGTGCTTGTCTGCCTGCCTCTTGTAAGTTTCCTTGGCCCGCTCCAAGTTCATCTTAAGTTGCTGGTGTAGGGCCTCCATTTCTTCCACAAACTGCTCTGCGGCGGGTACGCTCCAGCTTTCCTCCCCACTCCCGGGAAGGCCCTGGGATGACACCCATGGTTGGCCATGAATGGGCTCATTCCCGTGGACACGTGTTCCGCGTTGTTGTACGCGAATTCAGCCAGCGCTAGTTTTTCTACCCAATCGTTCTGCCTCTCGCTGACATAGCAGCGTAGGTATTGCTGGAGTATACTGTTCGCTCTTTCTGCTTGCCCGTTGGTCTCTGGGTGTCTCGCCGTCGAGAAACCCACCTCCACCTGCAGTAAGCTCATGAGTTTCCTCCAGAACCGGGAAGTAAATTGTTTTCCGCGGTCGGAGATAACCCTCAAGGGGCGCCATGCAGCCGGAATATGTGCTCCACAAACAACCGGGCTGTTTCCTCTGCCGTTACAGCATGTGAGCAAGCTATAAAATGGCACATTTTTGTCAGTAGGTCGACCACTACCATGACTGCTGTCTTTCCCCGGGACTTGGGCAAATCTGTCATAAAATCAATGGATACCACCTCCCAGGGTTTCCCGGCGTGGGTAAGGGTTCCAGCAATCCTGTGGGGGCAGCCCGCTCCCCCTTTGCCCTTTGGCAGCGGTCGCACCCCCGTACATATTCCCGTACATCCTCCCTCACCCTGGGCCACCAGAACTGCCTGGTCACAAGCATCATGGTTTTGTGCTGTCCAAAGTGCCCTGCTGTGGGGTTGTCGTGGAGTTGTTTGAGTACCTTTCCCCTCAGGGTCTCCCCCGGTACGTACAGCGCTCCCCTATAGTACAGTACCCCTTCCTTCTCCTCAAACCCTTCTTGGGTCCCTCTTCCGTCTCGTAGTTCCCGGATTTTAGTTTGCGCGAACACGTCGTTTCTGGTCAGCCCGGCTAGTTCTCGTTTCCCCACCAAAGTTCCCCACACACCCATCGGTCCTCGGGGATCACGTGTCGTTTCTCCGGCGGCCCCTCTCCTTCCAGGTACTCCGGTTTACGCGAGAGAGCGTCTGCTCTTACGTTTTCTTCTCCCGGCACGTAGCGGATTTCAAAGAAAAACTTGGAGAACTCCTGTGCCCATCGAATCTGTCTCTGGTTGAATACTCGTGCGGTTCTCCAGTACTCCAAGTTCTTGTGATCTGTGCAAACCTGGATCTGTTGTTGCGCCCCTATCAGTAGATGACGCCAACGACGAAGGCCGCGTAGATTGCCAGCAGTTCGCGGTCATACACTGTATAGTTTTGCTCCGACTTGCTCAGTTTTCTGGAGAAAAAGGCACACGGTTTCCATTCCTGCTTTCCCTTCCCTGGCTGCAAAGGACCGCCCCTACGGCTCTGTTGGACGCGTCGGTCTCTAGCCTCAGGGTTTCTCCAGATCTACGTGCAGGAGTAGCTCTTCTGATGCGAAAGCCTTCTACACTTATTCGAAGGATTGCTGGGCCTCTTCTGTCCACACAAACTTCTTTTTGCTACTGAGACAATCCGTGATGGGCACTGTCAAGTGGGCGAAGTTCTTGATGAACTTCCTGTAGAAGTTGCTGAACCCTAGGAACCTCTGTACGTCCTTCCATGTTTTGGGAGCCTTCCACTCCAGCACTGCCTGCACCTTGCTTGGGTCCATCGCTAAGCCTTTGTCAGACAACTTGTACCCCAGAAACTCGACTTCTCTGGCGTGAAACTGACATTTTTCCATTGGCTCTGCTGGCGGGGAGGGCTGCCTTGGTATTTCAGGAATGCGGTAGTCATGGCAACGTTGCTCTCTCCCTTCCCGCCTCTCCTGGGCGCGCGCTTCCTGGCGCACGCCAATCGCAAGCACAGCCTTGGTCAGCTGATCCATCCCCTGTGGGCGGGGTGCGCGGGAAAGTTCATCCTTAACCGTTGGGGACAACCCCTCCTCGAATAACATCTGTATGGGTTCGGAGCCCAGTTCCCACCCGAGGCGGTGAACTATCATGGCAAAGCGCAACCAGTAGTCCCTAACTGACTGGCTCCCCGTTTACAGTTCATCAATTCCCGCTTTGTCACACTTTTTTGAACATCAGTGGAAAACATCGCGTCCATCGCTTGGAAGAATTTCCTCAGGTCCTGCATGGCGGAATTCTGCGTCGCCATAGGGGTCTGACCCATTCCCTGGCCCCGTCCTGCAGGTGACCCACAACATATGCCACCTGCGCCGCGTCGTCTTCAAAATCGTTATGCTGCAATTCCAATGCGTACTCTATTTCCGTTCTAAACGCACTGTATTCTTGCGGCTTCCCCCCAAACTTGTGCACCAGTCCCGGTACCTTCCTTGCTATGGGGTGGGTCTGACCTGTGCATCTTGAGACCGCCTTTCGTCCAGCCGTGCCGTCAGAATGGCCACATGCTGCTCCAAATCTCGGTTCCTCTCCTCCAGCGTTTGCCCTCCAGCTGCTCCCCCCCTTGGGTGCCTGCTTCTCCGGGCTTGCTCATGATGCTGCCTGCCTGCTGCTGCGCACGAGCAACTTTTCAGGGACTGACGGATTGCTGTAATGAGTATGAGTTACTCGTGCGTAAACTGGTGCCTCTCTAGGCTAATTTGCCTTGTTAAACCTTTCTGACTGCACAGCCCTTTCTCATCATGACTGTCTCAGTCACTAGCGGAATCCGTCAGTGGGCGTTTCTTGAATCTCTTCCAACATAAGAGTTGTTTGACACCCAATCTCCTCCGCCTCTCACTGCGCGGGAGCCTTCTGCGCAGGGTGGGCGTGGGTAGTGGGGACCTGTCCCCTCCTCACTGAGTTCCAGTGAAGAGTCCGTGAGCCCTCTCTCCGATTTTCCCATCTGCTCACTTTTGTTCCTGGTGTTGCGCTTAAATGCTTCCCCCTCCACTGAGTCGCCTCTCCCCCTGCTGCTGGGTCCTTCTCCAGCATCATCCAGGAGCCTCCCCTTCGCCTCCCGCTCTGATGTCAGTTCCCTGACACTTCCCCATCCTTTATTATTTACGGACTGAACTGAATGATGTTAAAAGGACTTGGAATTCATTTAATTGGAAGGACAACTGCTCCATTATCTCCAGCCTGGCTGATAGATGAAAGGAATCTGCAAACATGCCAAGGAACTGATAAGGTTCATTACTGGGACAGTGTGATTTTTCTGCTCTTGTCAAAGTTGCAAAACAACGAAGCATGGGACGGAGCAATGGAGAAATTTCTGAAACAATGGGATATTAGCTACAACAAAGGCATGAGGGAGAACAATCAGGAAAAGTGAGACATAACATTTTACATGGACAGGAAGAAACATCACGGACAGAATAATTGTCACATACAGGAAGAACAAGGATATCGTTTGAGTGCCTCACTAGTAGTTTCATAAATCATTTAATGTTTCAACACGAATAGAAATTAATAATGCAGTTATTGTATATGGGATTATAATTTTGATTGGAATGTAATTGAAATTAATAAGATTTTGGAATGCAGAAATAAAGAAAATCATCAAACCATCAATTCTAGCATGCAGTAGGCCACCTAAATTATATAATTTGCTATTTGAATGATTGGTACTAGTAATCATATTATAATTTGGCATTGTTATAATGAGGCCATTATTGGACTGTAATTGAAAACTAATAAAAATTATTATCAAAAAGAAAGAAAGAAAAGAAAAGCAGGTGCGGCAAGCAAGGGATCTGTATAAATAACAAAAGCCCCAGAGTTTTGAGTCAGGCTGTGTACACATTACCATTTTCCCCAGCTCTAATTCTAGCGCACTCCCACCACTGGTGTTTGAATCTGTTATACAAATTCTAAGGTCTTATATATATATAAAATAAATGTTCATAAATGTACAAGGCAAACACATACCTAAGTATATAAACCACGTGGAGGAAATAGTACAGGAGAACAATCCTGAAGCCATTTTGACTCTCCCAAATCGACCTCAAATATTTCTCTGCAAGGAGGAAGGAAATGGGAAAAGCTTTCCAATTGTCTTTGGACCACCTCTTTCTGTGACGTATGTATGATGTTTTGGGGGGTGGTCTTGAGCTACAGGGTAGGCAATTTCAAAAGTCTATATAAGAGCTTGCATACCAATGTTCTGGGTTCCTCCTCCCTACTGCGTGGGAGGTGAGCAACCTGTTGCAATAGTTTAATAAAGATCAGGCTTACTAGCTGCTTTGCTTTAATATTACTGTTTTGGTCTCTGTTTGTTACTCCCAACCGGTAAGAGCCTCAAACACACTCTACACAGTGTTCCATTCCTCAAAGGAATTGGACTATATCAAAGGGAATTTCCACTCATAACAATTTGACGAGCCAGCCAGGAGAATCAGTTTTTCCGGGGTTTCGGGTGCTGAGGGACCGGTTGCCCAGCGTGCACCCAGCCAATTGCAAGGGGGAGCAATCTATCCCCCAGCAGACCCAGATCCTGGCATTAACTGGGATTCTCCGCAGGACCAACCAGGAAAAGCAACACTGATCCAGCCAGCCAGAATTTGTTTCACCTGACTGCTTCTGGGGACAGTGGTCTCCTCTGCAATCACCACCATTGTGGCATTAGCAGGCAGTAGCGTTATGTCTAAATGTAATATATTTGCACCAATTCTAAGCAATGGCAGTGACTCAGGAATGAAAACATCTCATTCCTATAAGTATGTTCTACTTTTTTATCTTCTTCCGAATTTATTTCCCTTTGTGGTATTTTTCTCCTCTTCCAACTTTTTGCTAACTTCTCTGTGGAGGCACAAAAATCTTCAACAAAACAGTGTGAGGGATGTTAGCACAAAAGCTCACCTGAATGCCATCAAAATTCTGGCTTCTTTCTGCATTCTCTACATATCTCATTTTTGTGTTGAGATTTTAGATACATTCGTTCTGGAGGGACATTAAATGCGCTTGGATATATGTAATTGCTTTTAATGTGATAGTTGCATATTCCTCTGGCCATGCCATTATCCTGATCTTCATGAATCCCAAACTGAAACAGGAAACCGTAAGGTTGCTACTTTGGCTAAAATTCTGAACGAAGCCACCATCTTACAGGCTACCAAGATCTTATGGAAGTGCCTTCCTCTTTTGCAAGAACAAAACTATCTTCCTGAGAACTGCCTAGAAGACGTTCTCCTGCACAAGACTGCCCAACCACTGCAGACTTGTTTGCACAGGAGAATGTCCTGCTGGATATGCCCATGAAGTCTTCATTTGTTTTGAAACCGTATTTATTTGCTTAACAATTCATCCACTGCAAACAGAATTCTTTAGCAATTCGGGTTCCTCCACAATTCTGGGCTTCGCTTTCGGAGAGCCATATTCAGTTTCTCCAAAGTATTTACACAACGTTGTAAGGTGACAGGTGTATGAGGAATCAGAGCTTCAGAAATATTGGTGCTTCTTAATGGTTGTCTCTCTTTCCTTGAATGCACAATTCACCTGTACGGTATGTGCCTCAGACAGAGCAAGCAGCATTAAAATGGGAATGCATAGAGTAAGCTGAAAGTAGGGGGACAAGCCATTGTGGTGGAAATCTTCTGCCTGAATTTGGAGAGTCTGGCTGTCTTCGCTCCTGCCCTGGTTATATTATTTTGAGGTCGAGGTTGAGCTAATTATCTCCTTTGATTTTTAAGAGTGGGATCTGCTAAACGAGTTGAAGCAGTTGGAATGCTGGATGTTACTTTCATAAAAGTATCTATTTGTACACATTATGAAGGTAGGTAGCAGAGAATGACTACGGAAAGTCTAAGTATTGTTCTGAAAAGAGGAGGCTGCAGGCAAGGGATCTGTATAAAGAACAATAGACTGACAGCTCCAAATCTGGCTGTCCACATGTTAGCATTCTCTTTGGTTAACGTGGTTGAATCCCACGCCGAAAGGTAGAAGCTGAGACATCTCCCCCTAGGCTGGTGGCCGGGCTGTGCCACACTGCAACAGACGCATCACAATTCAGGTCAGGGAGCAGGTGCAGGGAGTAGGAGGGAAAAGTCATTTGGGGGGACAACAACAAGAACAACGACATTTTTAATATGCCTCCCATCTGACTGAGTTGCAAAATTTCTCTATAGAAGCAGAAAACCTGGAGAAACTCTTTTAATTTCGTTAACTAAATATTATGTTGAATGTACACAATCAGCTTCCTGGTTTTTAATTCTTCTAACTTCTGCCTTTTTATGGAATGCCAATCTATTGGTCTGCATAACAGCTCTACGGGACCTTATGGTCTTCAAACAAAAACATCTTGGAGGTCCCAGGCTACAGAGAGGTTAGGCTAGCCTCACCCAGAGCCAGGGCTTTTTCGGCTGTGGCTCTGATCTGGTGGAGCACTGTCACAAGAGACTAGGGCCCTGCGGGGCTTGACATCTTTCCGCAGGGCCTGCAAGACAGAGCTGCTCCACCAGGCCTTTGGCTAAGGCACAGCCTGACCCCCTTCTTTGGTAATCCTCACAGAACCCAATGGTTGCCATTAATTTGATTTTGAATTGATTTTAGAATGAATTGATTTTAGAATGCTGTATTGCTTTTACTGTTGTTAGCTGCTCTGAGCCCGGCTTCAGCTGATGAGGGCAGGATATAAATAATAAAAATTATTATTATTATTATTATTTATTATCTAACACCCAACTTCAATTACCCAACTAATTAGAACAAATACTCATTTGATAAAGACATATGTTTTCAAATTTATTAATAAGATGAATAGCAATGTTGGTGGACAAAGATTAATCAAAATCAACAAATCCTCTGTCTCTATATATAAATACATATAAATCACTTTGTTAAGCCAGATTCAAATACAATAATCAAAATGTCTGTGGAATTTGCACACATGACATCAGAAGAGGCAATATCGATTTAGTAATAGAATCCTTCCAGGGTTGATTTGCATCTGAACAGAATCAACAAATGAAAATAACTCCTCAGCTCTCTAAAACCTTTTCTGTTCTAGATAGAAGGCAGAGGTAGTGTCCTCCACACAACACATATACATAAAGTGCGGTGGCGGCAGCAGATGGTGCAAATATTACACATTACAACAGAGTTGACATCCTCCTTCACGCTCAGAAAGATGCCTACTTTATTTGAATTGTTCTGCTTCATTCTTCTGGTGGTTGTGACCCTCACAGGATTGGCAGGAAATGGATTTATTGCTATCGTTAACTGCATTGACTGGTTTCGAAGCAGAAAACTATCCCCAGCTGACATGATCCTGAGTTCTCTTAGCTTGTTCAGATTTGCATTTCTTGCCGTTGTGATACAGATTGCAATTCTTATCCTCTTTTTCAAGGACACTTTTCTGAATAGGGACCTAATCACTGTATACAATGCCTCGTGGTTTTTTGTTAATACTACTGAACTTTGGTTTGCCGCTTGGCTCAGTGTTTTGTACTGTGTAAAGATTGCCAACTTCTCTCACCCTCTCTTCCTGCGAATGAAGCGGAGATTCCCTGGGCTGGTGCCTTGGCTGCTTCTGGGGACAGTGGTCTTCTCTGCAATCATCACCACCATCAAGGTAATAATGGGCAATAGACTCATGTATGAATGCAAGGCATTTGAATCACTTCAAAGCAATAACACTGACTCAGGAATGAAGACATCTGACTTTTGTAAGTATTCCATCTTTCCATATGTTGTTCCAGATTTCTTTCCCTTCATTATATTTTTCTCCTCATCCATTTTACTACTAACTTCTCTGTGGAGGCACAAAAATCTTCTACGAAACACTGCGAGGGATGTCAGCACAGAAGTTCACCTGAATGCCATCAAAGCTCTGGCTTCTTTCTGCATTCTCTATGGATCTAACTTTTTTGTGATAATTTTGGAAACTGTCCTGGACTGGATGGACACTGTGGACCTCTGGGTAAAAATATTTTTTTATAATATGATTGCTGCATGTTCCTCTGGCCATGCCATTATCCTGATCTTCATTAATCCCAAACAAAAGAAAGAATCGGTAAGGATTCTACATCAGCTAAAAAGCTGCATGAAGACACCATCTTAAAGGCCATCAAGACATTATGGAACTGTCATCCTCTTTTGCAGATACAAAACTTTCTGTCTGAGAACCGCCTAGAAGAAGTTCTCCTGGAAAAGACTGACCAACCACTGCAGAGTGGTTTGCATAGGAGAATATTGTACAATATTGTCTGTCCCTGGGTTTGCAGGTTCCCACATGCTCTGAGGACACAACCTAGGAGAGGTTCTCCTGCACAAAAATGCCCAGCTATTGCAAGGAGGGTTGCACAGAAGAACTTTCTGTTGGGTATGCTCTCTAATTTTGTAGTAGTGTATTATTTGTTGTTGTTTAGTCGTTTAGTCGTGTCCGACTCTTCGTGACCCCATTGACCAGGGCACGCCAGGCACTCCTGTCTTCCACTGCCTCCTGCAGTTTGGTCAAACTCATGCTGGTAGCTTCCAGAACACTATCCAACCATCTCGTCCTCTGTCGTCCCCTTCTCCTTGTGCCCTCCATCTTTCCCAACATCAGGGTCTTTTCCAGGAAGTCTGCTCTTCTCATGAGGTGGCCAAAGTATTGGAGCCTCAGCTTCAGGATCTGTCCTTCCAGTGAGCACTCAGGGCTGATTTCCTTCAGAATGGAGAGGTTTGATCTTCTTGCAGTCCTTGGGACTCTCAAGAGTCTCCTCCAGCACCATAATTCAAAAGCATCAATTCTTCGGTGATCAGCCTTCTTTGTGGTCCAGCTCTCACTTCCATACATCACTACTGGGAAAACCATGGCTTTAACTATATGGACCTTTGTTGGCAAGGCGATGTCTCTGCTTTTTAAGATGCTGTCTAGGTTTGTCATTGCTTTTCTCCCAAGAAGCAGGCGTCTTTTAATTTCGTGGCTGCTGTCACCATCTGCAGTGATTATGGAGCCCAAGAAAGTAAAATCTCTCACTGCCTCCATTTCTTCCACTTCTATTTGCCAGGAGGTGATGGGACCAGTGGCCATGATCTTCGTTTTTTTGATGTTGAGCTTCAGACCATATTCTGCGCTCTCCTCTTTCACCCTCATTAAAAGGTTCTTTAATTCCTCCTCACTTTCTGCCATCAGTGTTGTGTCATCTGCATATCTGAGGTTGTTGACTCCTCCCATGAGGATGCGGATTTCCACGCACTCCGAGACCATCACTTTCCACGTAGCCACGTTGGCTGGTCCGCCCATTATTCTGGGTCTGAGTTGGTTGGCCTTGCACGATCCGGTGGTTTCCTGGCACCAGCGGTCCCTGACTTTCAGGTCGGTGCACTGTTTGGAGAACTGCCTGGGAGTAGGGAAACCTCGAGACGGGGGGCCCAGTTGGCGGCAACATGCATGGGAAGCAAAGGCAGAATCCCTCCGCAATACCGAGACTTGGAGGAAGTGTTCAGTGAGAGGGAGGCCAACACATTACCGCCGCACCGGCCATACGATTGCCAGATTAACCTGGTCCCGGGGGCCAAGCTGCCAGTGGGGAAGCTGTATTCCATGTCGGATCAAGAGATGTGGGAGTTGAAAGACTTTATTGACAAAAACTTAAAAAGGGGGTTCATCAGGGAATCCAAAGCTGTGGGTGGCAGCCCGGTGTTCTTTGTGGACTAGAAAGCGACGAGTGAGAAGAGGCTGGTCGTGGATTTCAGGGCCCTCAACTCCTTGATGGAACCCGTGGCCTTCCCTATGCCGAGAATCGACGACGTTTTGGCGAGAGTGCGGAAGGGAAAATTTTTTACTAAGCTGGACCTCCGAGGGGCGTACAATCTCATCAGGGTGCGTGAGGGTGACGAGTGGAAAACCACCATGTTTACACTGCTGGGGGCATTCGAATATCTTGTCATGCCTTTCGGCTTGCAATGTGGAAACCCGTGCTTCCAGGCTTTCATGCGCCACATGCTGGAGCCGCTGCTGTATCGTAACTGCGTTTGCTTTTTGGATGATATCCTGGTATTTTCTGACAACGAAAGGCAGCACGTGAAGGACGTGCGTGAAGTCCTGAGCAAGCTAAAGGAGCATCGCCTGTGGGTGAAGCTGGAGAAGTGCCAGTTCCACACGAAGGAGGTCGAGTTCCTGTGCTACAGGTTGTCGGGTAAGGGCCTGAGAAGGTGAAGGTTGTGGTGGAATGGAAAAGCCCTAAGACCAGGAAGGATGTTCAGCGGTTCCTGGGTTTCAGCAACTTCTACAGGAAGTTCATTAAAAATTTTGCGCAGTTGATGGCGCCCATAACGGACTGCCTTAGTGGGAAGAAGTTTATGTGGACTGAAGCGGCGCAAGAGGGATTTGAGAGGCTTAAGAAGGTTTTTGCATCCGAGGAGCAGCTACTGCATGTCAACCCCGACCTGCTGCTGCGGGTGGAGACTGATGCGTCTGACCGGGCCATTGGAGCGGTACTGATGCAGCAAGATGGCAAGGGGGATTGGCGGCCGTTGCCTTTTTCTCCCGTAAGCTGAAGAAATCGGAGCTAAACTACAGTATCTATGACAAAGAATTGCTTGCTATTGTGGCTGCCTTCAAGCAATGGAGACACTTCCTGACTGGTGCGAGCCACCAGATACAGGTGTGCACGGATCAGAAGAACCAGCGTACGGCGTACGGCACGTGTGCTGCGCCAAAGGCAGATACGCTGGGCGGAGTTTTTTGCCAACTTCAACTTTAGGATTCAGTACATGCCAGGGGAGCAGAACGTGAGGGCGGATGTGCTATCTCGCAAGCCCGAGTACCTGGGGGAAGAAGGACCTCCTGTAGCCAGGCTCATGTTTCCCGAGAAAAGGTGGACTTGGGGGGGGGCATTGGTGAAGGACGATGAACTGATGCAATTGATCAGAGACGATGCCTTTGCACGGTGGAAGATGGACGAGCTAAGGGAAAAGGAGGGAGCTGAGGGAGGTTTTGAGGGAAAAGGGGGGCTTCTATTCTATCGGGGGCATTGTATATTCCAGGTGAATCCCTTAGGGCCAGAGTGCCAAGCAACTTCACGACAGCTCCACGGCAGGACATTTTGGGAAACACAAAACCATGTTGCTGGTTACTAGGGAATTTTGGTGGCCCAAAGTCAGGGAGGACGTGAGGGAATATGTAAGAGGGTGTGACACCTGTCAGAGGGCCAAAGGGGAGAGGGCTGCTCCAGCAGGGTTGTTGGAGCCTTTGCCCACACCAGGGAGGCCATGGGAGGTGGTATCGGTAGATTTCATCACTGAACTGCCCAGGCCTAAGGGGAAAACAGCAGTCATGGTGGTGGTGGATCTCCTAACCAATATGTGTCATTTTGTGGCATGTTCACATGCAGTGACGGCGGAGGAAACAGCCAAGCTGTTCATAGAGCATGTGTTTAGGTTGCATGGGGTCCCTTCTAAGGTGATTTCGGACAGGGGGACCCAATTTACCTCACGGTTTTGGTGCAAGCTCATGAGTTTGCTGCAAGTAGAGGTGAGCTTCATGACAGTGAGGCACCCCGAAACCAATGGGCAGGTGGAGAGAGCAAATGCTCTCTTGCAACAGTATTTGCAGTGTTATGTCAGTCAGAGGCAGAATGACTGGGTGGACAAATTAGCACTAGCGGAGTTTGCTTACAATAACGCGGAGAACGTATCCACAGGGATGACTCCTTTCTTCGCCAATCACGGGTGTCACCCTAGGGCTTTCCCGGGAAGGGGGGAGGAGTCATGAAGTGTGCCTGCCGCGGAACAGTTTGTGGAGGAAATGGAGGTGATTCACCAACAGCTCCAGTTTAACTTGGAAAGGGCCAAAGAAGTATACAAAAGGGAGGCAGACAAGCATCGGAGACCAGGGGAGGTCATCCGGGTTGGGGATAGAGTGTGGTTGTCCATGCAAGGGTTGCCCTGGAAAGGGGGGTGCAAGAAACTCAAACCCAGACGGGTGGGGCCCTTCGAGGTCCTACAGCAGATCAATCCAGTGGCATTTAAGTTGAGGCTGCCTGAGAGCATGAGGATTCATCCCGTCTTCCACAGGTCGCTGCTGTCGCCCTACAGGGAAGGGGGCATCCGGCAGGGTAGAGGGGAAGGGGAGGTTCCACCGCCCGAAATAGAGGAAAGGGAGCAATGCAACGAGGTGACTGAAATACTGGACTCTCGTTGGAAAGGGGAACAACTAGAGTATGTAGTGGCTTGGGAAGGCGCCCAGTTCAGAAAACACATGGGTTCCGGAAGGTTGCAGCTCTGAGGAGTATCTGGTGGAGGAGTTCCACGATTTATTTCCCGACAAACCAAAACCCCTGGGTAAGTTCTTTAAACAGGTGTTTGGGCCGACGGATGATGAAGAGGACTTCGGGGGTTTCCCACCATCGGACAATGGGGGAGGGCAGAAGAAGTCGGTGGAAACTGCCAGGAAAAAGGACATCTCAAGGATCGCTGGGAAACTGCGGGTTTGTTGGAGGGCTGGAGGGATGTTTTTGAGGATACAGAAGATGAGGATGACATTTTCCTAGGTTTCCCTCCCGCGACCCCTGATATGGGCGAAACTGGAACAGTCGTCTCTCTTGAGGAGGAGAGGGGAGCCTTTGGGGAGGAGGTGGATGTCAGGGAATTGGAGGCAGAGAAGGAGGAGAGAATGGGGACTTACAGAGATAAGCCTCCGTTACTTAGCAGCTGTACTTCTTCGGACGAGGAGGGTGACGAAGGGTTGTCAGGAAGCAATGAATCAGAGGGGGGGGAGCCACTTCCGGGGCCCAGCCACTCTCGTAACAGAGGAAGGAAGGGGGGTGGGTTCAGGAAGTAGATTTGCTGGCGGAAATCGAAAGCTTCTTCAGTCTCTGCAACTGACTCACCATGATGGAGGCTGACTCTCAGAGCTCTTTGTAAATAGCAAGAAGAAACCAATAAATCTTGTAAATATGGCTGACTTCCCGGACTCATATCTCTGCTAGCACTCACCAATCACCCCTGACATAAGGTTTCAGGGGAAACGAAAGCTGACATGTATTCTGAGCTGAAAGCTTTTGAAGCAAAACTACACATTTTGTAAAGCAAGTTAATGAAGACAGATTTTCAAACTTTTCACACTGCAATGAA